GACCGGCAGCTTTACGGAGACTCGCTTAATCGGTCCAAAATCTTTATTACAAACTAAGCTCAGATTAACTGCACGAACCAGCACGAGTAGGGGCGGTAACGTTGGTTGACCGATTTGCATACTGTGATGTGTCATGGTACCAGAGGGGGCGCTGCAGAGGCGGAACTGACCACCATAAAAATGGTGCAGTCAAAGGAATGTTTTCATATTTGGTGAAATTAACCGACATCATAATTTCACCAAATACCCCAGTAGGCTTTGTCAAGTGTGGTAGTTTAGAGACTTTGAGTAGCTGGTGTTGGTATAAACAGTGCTTACTTGTTTTTTTCAGTGAAATGTATGTAGCATGTTAGCATGTACATAGCATTATGTATATTCAGGCTCCTTAACAACCTCATCATTTGGAGGATCCAGTGACACTCATTGGAAAATGTACTCAGGGAAAATGTTTGTTCACCACAGGCTGAAATAACAAAGCTGTTTATTTTCCTTGTGCAGCAGAAAAGCTGAGTTGACTAGCACCAGCATGATGCTGAGAGCAGAATGACTTAAGTGGTCAATGTGCCTGATGTGACTGTGTTATAAGAAAACCAGAGCTAAATATATATGATGTGTGATTTGGGGAAGTGCAGTCCATAAGTACTTGGGCAGTGATAGAGTTTTTGTTCTGTGTTCTCTGTGTTTCAACCCACTTAATTAGAACTGGAACAGTGACTGAGTGCAGAACGCTCATTATTGATTTAGAGGGAATTTACAGCTACACTGGCTCATATTAGAATAACCTACAGTTTGTACACAGCCCTCTATTCCAGTAGACCATAAGCAACTGCTATAACGGCTATGAATTCCTTCATGTCCTACCCACAAGCCCTCACAGTAAAGCTGAACATGCATTTTTCACAGTTTCAGTTCTAATCCTGCAATCCTGTAATCCTTATCCTGTGCTGTGGAATATACAGCAGTTAGAAATAAGCTGTGGTGTTAAGGCCTGTTCATTTACAGGCACTCCAAACACTATCTTTCACACTGAGTCTGAACCTACCAGACTGCGATGCTGCGTTAATCAGAGCTAGTTCCAATGCCAGAATGGGTGATCGGGAGAGTCGGGGAGAATTGAGTCTCATACAGTGGGTAGAGACTAGACGAAGCTAAAGTTAGCTTCTTATTCTCATTCCTTGTTCCACCTTAAATGATGTAACATTCATTTTTGGCACCTGTATGGGTGCTAACATTTAACTGCTGCACTGTTTAAGGTGGAACAGAAATTCTAATAAGAAGCTAACATCAGCCTTAAGAAATTAGCACATCAAATTCAGTGTATCTGTGTAAATTAGGTGCTGACTAACACAACAGGCAGCTCTACAGAACTTTTACTTCATTTCACAGTTTTCCTGTGTGAATCATGTAAAGATGAACAGTAGCAGCAAGAACTGCAAAAACCCAAGGTGGAAAAGAGAAGACAAGAAAAAACTACTTATGGAGGATGAGGGCATATCCGAAGTGTGCAGTGAGAAATAGTGATCTTAACTTACTTAGCTAGCATTAGTTTGTAGCACAGACTGTCTCTTATATATCACATTAGATCTCATTGCACCAGATGAATAATGCATAAGAGTAAGATATGATAAAGATGAAAAAAATCAATGCTCTATGTGTGTATATAGAGTTTAAGTTGGGCCAGTCTGCATGATGTAACTCCTGGTCTGAAAAAAAAGACCTTCTCCGGCTCTGTCCAGCTTGATTCTCTGTATTGCACACATACGTTAAAATTAGGCTGACTAATCAGAATTCCATCATAATTCGTAACTACAGTCCAAAGAAATGTGCTGGATCATCTCATAAAAAGGGCACAAAAATGCAGTTTGAAGAAAATGTGTGTAGGGACCTGATTGTAATTCGATCACAGGGCATACTGGGGTGTTGACACCTGGCTTTACATGTGGTCAAGTGAGAGCCCAGTGGTGTAACGGGGGGCCCGGGGTGGGGGGTGGGGGTTAGTTGGTCGAAGGGAGGCCCATGGCGACCAGCCTACAATTTTTTTTTACTGGGCATCTCCAGGCTCGGACTGTCATCTGGAGTACTGGGAGATTTTCTGGCCAGTAGTCTGTCCTGTCAATTGTGCAAAAGATGAACTAGAGCACAGTGCAGCCACACCCATTAATATATGGAAAGAACCCTCCTCTGACTCCTTTTTCCCCTTGACCCACTCCACTTCTATAACCTAAGAATAGCTCAGTCAGTTTGTGCTGAAGTCCCTGTAGTTACTGAGTAATAAGTCCTAGTATGTAACAAACCTGAGGTTTTAAGGGGTTACAGCACATACATGGTCTATTCGCAATAAACGGTATAAAATCAGAGATGTGCGGTACAACTAGATATCTAGCTAGTTTATCCAGTAAAGTAACAGCATCACTGTTACAACTTTGCAAAATAGATAAGACAAGGAGAGAAAGGTGGAGCTGAGAGGGAAAGTTGTGCTAAGTTGTAGGCGTGCTTTTTCATGTCCTTTGGTGTTAAACTAGGGTGTTGGAAGTCTCCACCCTAACGTGGTTTGGCCTCACTTGCTGCCTGTTTCTGTAAAGAACATTTTCCTTGAAGAGAAAATGGCTGACTCGGGGTCTTCTGCACCAGCACTACAATACATCCATAGCTTAAACATGGTAAATATATCGTGCCCGGTATGACATAATGCATGTAATAAAGACAGTTCAATAATATTTTACATATATGTTAATTTAGAAGTCAAAATAGTTACAAGCAAGAAAAATATAATAAGGATTGTTGGTTTATGTATAAAAAGGGGGAAAAGCGAGAGGGGTTCACATATATAGAATAAAAAAAAATGCATTTAATTTTAAATTGCATGTATTAAATAGCATATTTTTTTTTCTTTTCTTTGCATTCCATCTCTTTATGGAAGTTAAATGTATGAGTTAATTCTAAAAGAAAACAGTGCAGCTTTGGGGTGAGTTATGTAGACACCATTGTGTTTGCTTGGAAGTGCAGGAAGTGACAGAGTGAAATTATCAGTAAGTAGAAATACGCAGTGAGTCGGCTGAGCATGTAAAGATCCAGGGCTCAGCCCAGCTCATTGTATAATTATTGGGGAAATCCCTCCTCTATATATACAAAATCATAAAATAAAAAAAGGAAAAATTAAAACTTGTCAAAAACGGAGATGTTTCCTCGGTAATGCCATTCTTAAAGACATCTCCACATTTCTTCTCAACACAAATCTCTTCTACTCATCTCCTTTATAATGTCCTGCTGACAGAGGAACATTTTATTGACAATTTGTATATACAGTTCTGTGAAAAAGTATTCACCCCTCACCTGATTTCTTCTGTTGTTGCTATTTTTCCACATTTAAATGTTTTAGATCATTCAACCAGCTTTAATATGAGATAAACACAACACAAACAGAAAATGCAGCTTTTAAATGATCATTTCATTTATTGAAGATAAAGATTTATTCAAGACTTCTATCACTCAAGTGAAAAAGCAATTGCCCCCTAAACCTCATAACTTCTTGTGCCAGCCTTGGTAGTAATAACTGCAATCAAATGTTTGCAATAAGTTGCTTTTACATCACTGTGGCCCACTCTTCTTTGCAGAACTGTTTTATTCGGCTACATTGGAGGGTTTTCGAGCATGAACTGACTGTTTAAGGCCTTGCCACAGCATCTCAAGTCAGGACTTTGCCTCAGCCACTCTAAAACTTGACCTCCTCTATGAGTTGTTGATGTGCTCTTGGTGAAATTTTGGTAGGCCAGTCACTCCTGAGAAGGTTCACCACTCTTCCAAGTTTTCTCCATTTGTGGATGATGGGTCTCACTGTGATTCACTGGAGTTCCAGAGCCCCAGCAATAGCTTTGTAACTCTTTCCAGACTGGTAGAATTAAATTACTTCGTTTCACATCTGTATATGAATCTCTTCAGAATGTCGCATCATGTGCTGCTTTTTGAGACCTTCTACCTGCTTCACCTTGACAGACAGGCTCTGTTTAAGTGATGTTTTGATGCAGCAGGTCTGGCAGTGATCATGTCTGGGTGTGGACATTGAAACTGAACCCAACAGTCAATTGAATTTGGTTAACTGGTCGAATTAATAGCTAAGAGGGCGCTTACTTTTTCACATAGGGCCATGTAGGGCTGAGCAGAAATTTTCCTTCAGTAAATGAAATTATCATTTAAAAACAGCATTTGTGTTTGCTTGTGTTATATCTGTGTAATATTAAAAGTAGTGTGATGATCTGAAATATTAAAGTGTGACAAATAAGCAAAAAATAGAAGAAATTGGGAAGGGGGCAAATACTTTTTCACAGCACTGTATTTTAGAAGCTAAATACATTCAGTAAAACTCTTGTTGCCTAAAACCAAAAAGGAAACTATATTTTAAAACTGAAAGACCACGCGTAAACACAGCATTGCGTCTCATTGTGTTCTGAGTTAAAGTGAGTTTGTCTTAAAAATAATGGGGGCTATACCCGGAAGCCCAGCACAGGCGACGCCGATGACTCAGTTCACTGAGTCGACTCTTTCAGATCTTCCCTTGTATTGTGCTTGGTTACCGTTATTTTAATGAATGTAAAAGTAGAAATTACTCACATCACATACAGGTGAGCTCACTCTACATTACACAGGTGAGCTTCATGCTGACTGTACTGCCCTTTTTATTTAACCTCAACTCACAGGATTTCACAGAGCAGGATTTCTCAGTAAGCTGAAGGACTTGAGGATGGTCCAGTAGGGTTTAGCTCTTCTCCTGCTAGGCTCGTGGTTTTACCGATCTTAGTCTAACCGAGAAGCCCTGCTTTATGAATAAACACCGCTCTGATCTTCAAACATGTGAGTCGACTCCAAACGTTCACTTAAAAGAACCGGTTTCAAAGAGTCGTCTCTTTGCTCGAACTTCGGGACTCGACGACGTTCATCGCCGTCCACTTTCCTCCACTAAGCATGTTTTATTTAACGGTTCTGATGGCCATGCGAAGTTGACGATGATCGATACAGCTTCAGTTTTAGCGCTGCTGTTTAGTTTTCTTCTGCCTGGTGTTGTTGGAGGTGAGTTTTCTGTCTCTTTGCTCTGTGAGGCTCCCTGGGAAGTTAGTTTCACTTTGAACGAGTCAAACTTCGATGTAAATACAAGACAAATAATTTCTTCCTTAGTTCAGTTCTATACTGTATAGTGTTGATTAATGTCAGTAAAACAGCGCTGAGCGGTTAAACTGATTCAGTGTCTGATTAAACTGCAGTATTAACTCTTTTCCCAGCGCTCGGCCGGTTCGGGTCAGTTTGTATTCAAATGTTTATCTTTAAATGCCTTGATTGACATTTTTAACTTTGATTAATCACGCCTAATTAAAGGTTTACTGGCGTACAGATAACATTCAGAATAATATCCGATAAAATATGAGAAAATGGCTAAACGGAAACAGAGGCCTTGACCAAAACAAAACTAAACTTAACGGTCAGGTTCTTGTTTGTGAAAAGGGGAAGTTTAGTACACCTGAAAAAGTCTATAAATTAAGAATTGTGTGCTGTTGTCGAGTTATTAATCCCCAAAATTCCACTATGAAGAAGGAAATGAAGAGGAAAAAACACAGAGTGTAGAGTGTTTATTCTATATCTTAGTCTAGCTCTGTTGATATCGGCTCTATACTGAGTAGATATTGTTTAATCTTTCCTCTGCCGTTCTATGTCATTAGATATCCTATTTCATATTTCCCCATGCTGTGGTACAGTAAGTGAGCTTTGGTAATAGACACACGTCCCTATGGAAAATCTCTTAAGTTCAAAATGCACATTTAATTATGGAAAATATCAATTCAAACTAAAATGATCAGCAGCAAAGTTTCGTAGATCAGCGATTTCCAGCCCGGGTGATACTCATTTATTTATATGATATATACAACCCCATTTCCAAAAAAGTTGTGATGGTGTGCAAAATGTAAATGAAGACAAAATGTAATTATGTGCAAATCATTTAAACCCTGTATGTATTTGAAAATAGTACAAAGACAACAAATCAAATGTTGAAACTGAGAAATGTTATTGTTCTTTGAAAAATATATGCCTATTTTGAATTTGATGCCAGCAACATGTTTCAAAAAACGTTGCGACAGGGGCAACAAAAGACTGGTAAAGTTGTGTAACAGACATGATTCTGTAGAGGAAATCACTGCATGGGCTTAGGAACACTTCCGAAAACCACTGTCTGCATCCACAAATGCAAGTTAAAACTCTAAAATGCAAAGAAGAAACCATATATGAACAAGATCCAGAAACACCACTGCCTTCTCTGGGCCCAAGCTCATTCAAAATGGACTGAGGGGAAGTGGAAAAGTGTCCTGTGGTCTGACAAATCAAAATTTGAAATTCTTTTTGGAAATCATGGACGGTGTGTCCTCCGGGCTAAAGACCACTCAGCTTGTTATCAGTGCACAGTTCAAAAACTAGCATCTGTGATGATAGGTGCATTATTGCACATGCCATGGGTGACATGCACATCTGTGAAAGCACCATTAATGCTGAACGATATATACATATGTGCCATCCAGACAACATCTTTTTCAGGGAAGGCCTTGATTATTTCAGTTAAATGGCACTTAAACATCACAGCAGTGCAGTTAGATGGAAATTAAACACCACAGCAGTGCAGTTAAAAGGTACTTAAACATCAAAGCAGTGCAGTTAGATGGAAATTAAACACCACAGCAGTGCAGTTAAATGGTACTTAAACATCACAACAGTGCAGTTAAATGGCACCTAAACATCACAGCAGTCAGTTAAATGACACTTAAATATCACAGCAGTCAGATGGCTGTACCTCTGATTTCCGGACCTAAATTTATTTAATGGTTTTATTTTAATGGCAGAGGAGAAATAAATTATTCGTTTTTTCTCTCAGTGTCAACAGTTTAGACGTATTAGCTCAGCAGTTTAACTTATGCTTATGTTGTATGTTTAAATAGTGACTTTATTATTCTAAACAGTGTATTATGTATATCTTGATATTTCAAAATAATGACTTATTTTCTCAATAACTTTGTTACTATATCAGAATAATGACTCATTTACTTAAAATTTTTATATTGAAATAAAGACTTACATCCTTGAACTGTTGACATGCTATGTCAAAATAATGAGTCAGTAAATGTCAAGAAAGCAATTTTGAGAAAAAATAAGTTGTTGTTTTGACATAAGTTAACATTTTGACTTGGGAAATTTAAAATACACTTTGAAATCACTTTTATTCAGTATGCTCACGTTGGCTGTGTTGTATTTTGGGTAATTTTGAAAAATTCTTCTGTTCCCCCAGCCTTCCAAACACCAGCAAACCACTCTCTCATCTACTACTACACAGAACTCACAAAGGATCTTTCTCCTCTGGGCTTTCATGAGTTCACTGCACTGGGCTTGCTGGATGAATGGAAGCTGTACTACTATGACAGTAAGAACCAGGTTACTAGACCTGAACATGACTGGATGAGAGAAGGCCTGGATGTAGAGCACTTGATCCACAATCCTGAAGAGCTCCAGAGGTTGAGAGACTGGTTTAGAAGACAGAATGAAGTTGTGGGGAACTGCACATGGCCATGTCCTGGTGAGTTTCTCCACATCTGTAGTGGGGCTGCAAGATAAGGACAAAATAACATATTGCGATTTACTGCTGCATATTACAACTGTGGTATATCAAAACATTTAGATGTACTTTAAAGATTAGGTTGCATTATTTCAGTGATCAAAATGATTCATGCTTGTTGGATCAGTCAGGATGTTCACAGCACACAATAAAAATGTGATGAAAGGGTTCATTTGCATATTACTTCCCTTTGAGCTATCAGTATTTTAAAAGTCAATATTGCGATAATGCAAGCAAGTTTGGAAACTCGATAAATTGAGACAAAATTATCAACAAATACACTATATTGCCAAAAGTATTTGCTCATCTGCCTTCATACGCATATAAACTTGAGTGACATCCCATTCTTAATCCATAGGGTTTAATAAGATGTCAGCCCACCCTTTGCAGCTATAACAGCTTCAACTCTTCTGGGAAGGCTTTCCACAAGGGTTAGGAGTGTTTATGGGAATTTTTGACCATTCTTCCAGAAGTGCATTTGGTCAGACACTGATGTTGGACGAGAAGGCCTGGCTCGCAGTCTCCGCTCTAATTCATCCCAAAGGTGTTCTATCGGGTTGAGGTCAGGACTCTGTGCAGGCCAGTCAAGTTCTTCCACACCAAACTCGCTCATCCATGTCTTTATGGAGCTGCTTTGTGCACTGGTGCGCAGTCATGTTGGAACAGGAAGGGGACGAACTCCCCAAACTGTTCCCACAAAGTTGGGAGCATGAAATTGTCCAAAATCTCTTGGTGCTGAAGCATTAAGAGTTCCTTTCACTGGAACTAAGGGGCCGAGCCCACCTCCTGAAAAACAACCCCACACCATAATCCCCCTCCACCACACTTTACACTTGGCACAATGCAGTCAGACAAGTACCGTCTCCTGCCAACCGCCAAACCCAGACTCGTCCATCGGATTGCCAGACGGAGAAGCGTGATTGGTCACTCTGCTCTAGAGTCCAGTGGCGGCGCTTTACACCACTGCATTCGACGCTTTGCATTGCGCTTGGTGATGTAAGGCTTGGATGCAGCTGCTCGGCCATGGAAACCCATTCCATGAAGCTCTCTACGCTGTTCTTGAGCTAATCTGAAGGCCACATGAAGTTTGGAGGTCTGTAGCAATTGACTCTGCAGAAAGTTGGTGACCTCTGCGCACTATGCGCCTCAGCATCCGCTGACCCCGCTCGGTCATTTTACATGGCCGACCACTTCGTGGCTGAGTTGCTGTCGTTCCCGATCGCTTCCACTTTGTTATAATACCACTGACAGTTGACTGAATATTTAGTAGCGAGGAAATTTCACGACTGGACTTGTTGCACAGGTGGCATCCTATCACAGTACCACGCTGGAGTTCACTGAGCTCCTGAGACCCATTCTTTCACTAATGTGTGTAGAAGCAGTCTGCAGGCCTAGGTGCTTGGTTTTATACACCTGTGGCCATGGAAGTGATTGGAACCTGAATTCAATGATTTGGATGGGTGAGTGAATACTTTTGGAAATATAGTGTATGAGTATATAGAAAGAGAACATCAAAAACAAAAGGCCAGTTTTGAAAATGTAAACATTAACACTAATGCCATGGTTGCTTGTGGTTTGTTTGCTCTTTTTAATGTTCAGAGAGCCTCAAACTTCTCCATACAGACAAATACAGCACTGCTGAACTAGCACTGAGTTTCAAGTTGGCGTTTACTTTAGCAGAATGGGCTGTTAAACCGTGTGTGCATATTTGAGTTGCACTGGCTAAAAAAACGCAACTTTGTGGCTGTTACACTCGATGGATCCAATTTTTCGTCTTCATCTTCTTTGTGTGGGTGTTTAGTAAAAAGGATGTTGTAGCAGAAGTTTCAGTGTGTTAAAAGTTCTACTTGTTATGACATGGCCTAACAACTACACATTAAACAAACATTAAGGATGAAATATACTGTTTCTGATGGTGTTTCACCATTTCAGATCACAGATCAGAGCACATTCCTGTGCTCAGTGCTTACATAATTACAAAATTTGAAGAAGAAATTATGGTCTACTTGGCTGTTGTTGACAATTACTGATAAATTACTAAGTGGTCCCAGCCCTACGATAATGATTTACAAACAGTATTTTGTGTGTCCTTTCTTGTTGCCATATTATTATTTATTCTACAGAACCATATGGCTCTAATATATTATCCTGTTCTTAATCACTGGTTTTAGATCTTCACGTGCTGCAGAGGAGATTCGGCTGTGAGGTAAAGGAACATGAGAATGGGTCAGTTCATCTTCTCAGGGCCATTGAAGAATACGGCTACGACGGACAAGATTTCATCAGCTTTGATGTTGATGCTATGCAGTGGAAGGCTGAGGTTCCTAAAGCCCAACCGATCAAGAGAATTTGGGATAAAGAAAAAGGGCGCAAACAGCACATTGAATTTTACCTGAAAAACGAGTGTGTGGAGAGTCTATCCAATGTCCTGAACTTCAGGAATCCCAGAAGACAAACTCTTTGTGAGTTCTTTATGCCTTTTGATTTTTATCTTTTTAAACAATGTTTACATTAACATACATTAGATTTTAAAGCTTCAGGGGACATTGTGTAAAATATTACAAATATTTGTATGATACCAAATTTCACTGTTTTATATTAAACATCTCACAAAGTTAAAATTAAAAACACAATAAGAAGTGGCTGGTGGTTTCAGTGATCAGACAGACCTGAGAATTGCCTGGTTGTCTGGATGTCGCCTAATATTCTAATAAGCATGCTCGCCTCCCTGCCTGCAAGGCAGCATTACAGCTAACTGAACAGTTCAAAACAAGCTGTGAAATTTCACTGTATTGTTTAAATGTACCAGTATACATTTTTAATACATGTTTACATGTATATCAATGTAGTCAGGAAATATTAATAATAATATATATTTAGCTGAATATTTATTGTCATATAGAGGAAAATGGGGGGGGGGAGATGCCCCATTTAGGAGCAGTGTACTGAGAGCAAGTACTGAAAGGCTAAATCATTTCTGTGCATGAGTTAGAATGTACAGGATGATGATATATACATATATGCAGTTACACTCTCAGAAAAACTGTATTTTTGGATTTTTCAGTTAGAGAAAATAACTGTATTCCAGTGCAGTTTCGTATATATACACACACACACACACACACACACACACACACACACACACATATATATATATATATATATATATATGAATACACCCCCACCAATCATATGTTTGTTTATAACATTCTTCTGTGAGTTAATTGGACTGTAGGCATTCACTAAATGTGCTGAGATTAGATTTAGTCCTGTCTTCTGTCTTTTCATCAGGAGAGAAAATAAGGGGGGCAACTTCCCCTGGGGGGCGTCCTCCCCTAAGTTACCTTGTTAGCACACATATCAGCTGCGTGTAATGTGATCACTGTAGCAGTGGTCTACTCTGATTAGTTGTTCAGTGGCTAACTACAATAACCTTTTGCTTTTTGCTTTTTTCTTTTCTAGCTCCACCGGCTTTTCAGACTTCAGTGTTTGCAAAGAAATCCTGTGATAAAAACATGCTGGTTCTGACCTGCCTGGTCACAGGCTTTTTCCCTAAAGACGTGAAGATGAGTGTGAGGATGTTCAGCACTTCACTGCCTGAACATCTACTAACATCTTCAGGAGTCAGACCCAATGAAGATGGAACCTACCAGCTGAGGAAGAGTGTGCAAATAAAGGAAGACGATACAGATTACAGCTGTAGGATAGAGCACAACAGCCTGGACACACTGGTCACTGTTAAGTGGGGTAAATTACACATTTAAGAGTTATAGTACTATGTATTCTAAAAAAATGTTAAAAGGGTACAGTGTGTACCAGAATGGAACATGTTCCCTGTCCACTGAAAAAACAACACGCTGGAAACATGAGCAAGTTTTCCACAGTTGCATATTGCTATGGATTCACATTTCAAGGAAGTCTTTTTTAACACCTGTAATTTGTCATTTTTTTCTGTGCAGACGGGAACTGGCAACGCTGTGATGGAGAGGCATGGAATAAGTGGACCATTGTTTTTGGTCTGGTTGCAGTAGGCATATTGTTTCCCATTTTGATGATGATCCTCAGATGTATTTGTGAGTGGCATTATTTATGTTTTATACTTTTCCAGGTATTGTTTATTTAATTTTTTTATTTAGGAATATCACAGGACATTGTTTCTTCAGATTACAAATGAGACATGAGGGAAATGTGTTAAAAATGTAAAGAGAACATTTTGAACACCTTGACCTTACGTTGACCTTAAAACAGTCTTTACAAAAATAATGAGCGTAGTGTTGTGCAGGGATTCTTTGTTTATTTAGCCTGGCAGAACACAGAATGTCTTCTAAATAATGTCTACAACTGGGTCAGATGTGTGTGCAGAATGTGCTACAAAAGTCTGGAAACACTAACATACACAGTTCACGCTGCAAGCCTAAGTGCAAGCGCAAGCCTTCTTTTAACAACACTCTAAGCGTTTGGGAACTGAGGAGACGCTGCTGTAGTTTTGAAAGTGAATTATTTTTCCATTCTTGTTTGATACCGGATTTCAGCTGCTCAACAGTTCAGGGTCTCCATTGTTGTATTTTTCATGTCATAATGCACCAAATGTTATCAGTGGTGACAGATCTGGACCTCATTCAGGTCAGTTTAGCACCCAAACTATTTTAATACGGAGCAGTGCTGTTTTAATACATGCAGAATGTGGCTGTACGTTGTCTTGCTGAAATAATCAAGGCCTTCCCTGAAAAAAAAGACGTTGTCTGGATGGCAGCATATGTTGCCAAAACATGTATATGTAGTTCAGCATTAATGGTGCCTTCACAGATGTGCACGTCAGCCATGCCATGTGCAGTAATGTCCCCCTATACCATCATGAATACTGGCTTTTGAACTGCGCACTGATAACAAGCTGAGTGGTCTTCAGCCCATGATTTCCAAAAAGAATTTCAAATGTTGATTTGTCGGACCACGGAACACTCTTCCACTTCCTCTCAGTCCATTTTAAAGGAGCTCAGGCCCAGAGAAGGTGGCAGCATTTCTGAATCCTGTTCGTGTACAGTTTCTTCTTTGCGTTTTAGATTTTTAACTTGCGTTTGTGGATGCAGCGATTAACTGTTTTCACAGACAGTGGTTTTCAGAAGTGTTCGAGTCCATGCAGTGATTTCCACTACAGAATCATGTCTGTTTTTAATGCAGTGCCGCCTGAGGGCCCAAAGATCACGGCCAGCATATACTAGTTTTTATCCTTGTCCCTCACATACAGAGATTTCTCCAGATTCTCTGAATCTTTTAATGATATTATGTACTGTAGATGATGAAAAGCTTCTTTGCTGTTTTACATTGAGAAATGTTATTCTTGAATTGTTGCACTATTTGATCATGCAGTCTTTCACAGAGTGGTGAACCCCTCCTCATCTTTACTTCTGAAAGACTCTCTGAGATGCTCTTTATACCCAATCATGTTACTGACCTGGTGTCAATCAACCACCAGGTGTTTTTCAGCATTACACAACTTTACCAGCCTTTTGTTGCCCCTGTCCCAACTTTTTTGGAATGTGTTGTTGGCATCAAATTCAAAATGGGCAAATATTTTTCAAAAAAACTTTTTCAATAAAATTTTTCAGTTTCAACATTTGATGTGTTGTCTTTGTACTATTTTCAGTTAAATATAGGTGTTAAATTATCTGCTCAGCATTGCATTTTGTTTTTATTTACATTTTGCACAGCGTCTCAACTTTTTTGGAAACGGGGTTGTACATATACTGTTCAACTGAAGATCAAATACAGATATATTCTCTACAAATGAAACTTTTCTTGGTGTTTACTTATATCCATGTTTTAAAAAAAAGTTGGGATGCTTTGCAAAATGTAAAAAAAATAGAATGTAACGATGTGCAAATTGTTTAAACTTTAATTTAAAGTAGTACAAAAACATCATATCAATGTTGAAACTAAGAATGAGTGTGACTATGAGTCTTGGAAGAGGTTTGAGAAGTGTTTCCAAAATATTAGAAATCTATTGGAAGCCAAACAACTCAAAAACCTGTTCAAACTGTGCTACTCATCAGAAGCACACAGCATGGACCGATAATGTGCACTACCCACCGGACAGCGTGGCACAGATCAGCTGACCTGCGTGACTCAGTGGGTTGTGTGGAGCGGACCAATTTAAGCCTATCGTTGTGACCCACTGAGCAGCACCATGCAAGCCAAACAGAAGTGATACAAAGTATTATTTACAGAATTAAGTGTTCCTGCATGCTTAAGATCACTCAGAATCAAAGCACTGAGGTTTCATTGTTTGTGCATTTATTTTATGGAAACTAAAGTGTTATTAAACTTTAAATGCGCGTTTCACATTGCTTCCTCATTGAGAGGTGTACAGCTAAATGCTAAACCTGTATAGTAGCTTAGGCAAGCTTAAAGTGGCTTAAAGTACTAAAACTTTGACCAAGGAACATCATATGTTTCTCATATTTTACTGAACAAACACATCATCTAAAAACACCATGTAAAGTTTTATAGGGCAAAAGTACTTACGCTAGACTGTACACTCAACTTTTGTGTTTTTGGCAGTTGTCCCAAGCCTATTAATACGACACTGAATATAGGTTTATATCTAGGACTATGTAGATCTAGGAACACAGTTAGGCACAGCTCTTCAGCTGAACTGTTTTATAGCTGGACAGTTCTTTACGCTCACATGAAACTTGTTAGCTAAAATATGCAGTATAGCGGATTTCTATGTATATGTCTATGAAAATATTCCATTTCATTTTGCAATTACAATTATGGTGTGACCTGGCCATCTTAATTTTGTAGAACTAGAACATGGTTCAGTGTGTTGTTGTACTTGAGTATATTCCGGTATTATATATACCAGCATTAAAAGATACTAAAAGATAGCATAATATTACCAGCATTAAAAGAATGATAGCGTGACTGAGAGCTGATATTTGACTTATAATAATAATGTTTTAGGTTATATATTATTTAATGTTATATTTTACAAAATATATTGTAAAGGTAATATTATGTATCGTTATATATATATATATATATATATATATATATATATATATGTATATATATATACACACACATATATATATATAACAAACTATAACTATAAAGGAATTTCATTCATTTATTTATTTATTTTTTGTTCTGAAAAAAAATCTTAATCTGGTCTCGATCTCGGCCACTCCTGGTCTTGGTCTTGACTCAGACTCAATGTTTCCCAGTCTCTGTCTTGACCTGGACACTGCTCTAGCGGTCTTGACTACAACACTTTTCAGTGCTAAACAAATATTTGGTAAGGCTTTACACTAACTAGATGTACACCAAGAATTCTTGACATTTATAAAAGCACAGTAACATGGCATTAAAATGACATTATATCTTTTGAAACGTTAAATATATTTATTAATGAGTAAGGGCTTTAAGGGCTTTTGCAGCTATAACAGCCCCCACTTTTCTGGGAAGCTTTCCACAAGATGGTGTAGTGTATTTGTGGGAATTTGTTCCCATTCAGTCAAAAGAGCATTTGTGAGGTCAGACACTGACTCGTCACACCATGTCTTCATGGAGCTGCTTTGTGCACAGGGGCTTAGTCATGCTGGAACAGGAAAGGCTCTTCCCAAACTGTCTACAGTAAGAGATGTCAGGGACAGGTGGGCTCAGCATCTGCTGCTCATTTACAGTCCAGGCCTGTGTTTGGTGCCTGCACAGGTCTAGATGATAGTTCATGCAAGTCAGCTGATCTGCGCCACGCTGTCCGGTCAGTCTCGCCACGCTGTCCGGTGGGTTGGGTCAGTATCTCAGGTTGGACACTTCCCATAGAAAGAAATCCTGCTGATTCAGCCCCACTGTCTGGAAGATCATCTACTAGTAGAAAAGATTTAAAACCACTGCCAACTTGTGCAGGCCAGGCCACCCAGTAAATCTAACCCAAGAGCAGACTGTAACATGCTAAAAGAGGTCTATAATAACCCCAGAATTTCATCACAGGATCTACAGGTAGCTCTTATATTCTTGTAAAGAATAGCTAGGCAAGGACCAGGACGCCTGGAAAACGTGGTCTAGACGAGTTATTAGAGAGGGCTAGCTCGATGAAGTTTGGCAGTAAACAGGATAGTACAGGAATGAAGACGAGGAGACACCATTTCTTCTCTGAACTGTATTGTGGTCCAGCAGTCTGTATTAGTACAGCTTAATAATCAGTATTTTCATCAGTCTGAAATAAGAGAGTAAATCAGCACTGGGCACTGACCTCTTTAACAGGAGTGTTATATAAACTAGTGATGCATTGAAACCATTTTGTCAGACAGAGTATGAATATGTTTTTTACTAATCACTGGTAAGTCGTTATACACTATATGGACAAAAGTATTGGGACACCTACAAATTACACCCACAAGAGCATTTCTGACGTCCCATTTAGATTCATAGCATTAATATGGAGCTGGTCCCCCTTTGCAGCTCTAACAGCTTCCACTCTTCTGGGAAGCTTTCTACAAGATGTTGGAGAGAGTCTGTGGGAATTTCTGCCCATTCATCCAGAAGAGTGTTAGTGAGGTCAGACACTGATGTTGGACGAGAGGGTCTGGCTCACAATCTCTGTTCTAGTTCATCAGAGATTTGATGAAAGGTGTTTGATGGGGTTGAGGTCAGGGCTCTGTGAGGGTCAGTCAAGTTCTTCCACACCAAACTCACCCAGTCAGGCCTTTATGGAGCTGCTTTGGTCACTGGGGCTCAGTCATGCTGGAACGGAAAAGGTTCTTCCCCAAACTGTTCCACAAAGTTGGAAGTGTACAACTGTCCAAAATCTCTTGGTGCTGAAGCATTAAGATCTCCCTTCACTGGAACTAAGGGTTCTAGACCAACCCCTGAAAAACAACCCCATATCTTCATCCCTCCTCCACCAAACTGTACAGCTGGCACAGTGCAGTCAGGCAGGTAACGTTCTCCTGGCATTCACCAAACCCAGACTCGTCCAT